TGAAGGAAAAAAAAAAAAAAAAAAAGAAAAAAGAAAAAAGAAAAAAAAGAAAAATTACTTAATTAGAACATTTCCCTTGAAGAAAAAAAATCAATCCGCGCGATCGAACCGTCGAAATCTTGGATGGACGAATATTTCTCTCTCTTTTACTCGATCGCGTTCATAGCGATGCCAGCCAACACCAAAAAAACGTCCCGAGTTCGATCGTTGGATCGCGCATAAAAGTCGCGTGTGCCGCTTCGTCGATCACGTTTCCTCGTTATTATTCCTTCTCTCGTACTCAAGACCGCGTTGAAACACACGGATGTGCGTTTCCCAAGCGCGCGTTGATTACAAGACATCGCGACGGACAACGAAATCATCGGTACGCGAAATCGATCGTGGATCGCGGCACGGCTCACGCGTGGAGGCAACGATCGCTCGAATTATATCACGTTATACACCGATTATTAACCGAAAAATTCTCCGATCGTACGACCGTTTATATTAATACCTTTTAACTGTAACCGTTGAATAAGAGAAGGAAGGAAGGAAGGAAGGAAGGAAGGAAGGAATGGAGAAAAGGAAAGGATGTTTAATTAAATGCGAGTAAAATGCGAGTTCTATCTGTCATCGTTTTAGCTGTTAAGGATTCATCAGAAGTAAATATTGGGGGTAGCTCTAATCCAGTAAGCGTACCGCGTAAGCGCAAGCATACATTTAGAAATACGGAGAGAAGAAATAAAACGTAGTACAATGTATAGGTTTGTGTATAGAGATACGAGAGGGCATGTGTGAAAGAGATACCGGTGTTGGGTGCACGTCGAGTGCTCGTTACCGATCCTACCGCCGCTTTATTTCGTTGGAAGGCATTACGGGTGGATGGCTAACAAGATCGTTCCAACTTGTTCGAGATATCACGGAAACGGTTTTTCGACCGTTTTCTATCCTATCGCGAGTGGCCGAGGTGAAACGATTCCCTTTCGAGGGATCGTATATCGATAAGCCGGGGTGGTCGTAGGTAACGAGCACGCCGTTTCATGGAACATCAAAGGAGTCTTCCTCGTGATGGCGGGCGATGCTCGATGCCCGGTGATCATTTCATGGCCTTAATCAAATTTTCATCGGGGATCGAGTGTCTTCGTCATCGTGTCGTCGCGTCTCTCGCGACGATGGAACGAATATTGACTGGCTCGTGACGACGATTCCAACGAATCGTGGATGCCAAAAGGAGTATGAAAGGTGCTGGAGGGTATTATACAATTACTCTCGAATGTACTTTTAATATCTCCGTTTGGAATTCGTCCACCGTTTGGATATCGAATATTTTCCGCTAATTCGAAATTTCGATCGATGTTGTGATCCATGTTGTATCCGATACTCGTCGAGATGATTCGATTCAAAGAGATTTTATATATCGATTGCGCGCCGATTTCTATCTCGTACGATTTTCCACTCGTCGAGAAATGCTCTGAC